AAACGTGACATATTTTGATAATACAAAATTTCTATTTTTAGAACAATTCCACTGAACAAAGCAACCTTATTATTTTTCAGACAGTACCCAATTAGTCACGATATATATTTTTATCTTATGCTACCCGTCTACACTTTGAGATATGGCATAATACATCGAAAATAAGTACCAATAAAAAAAATTCAATCATACTGACAAAAATGACCACCAATCATTATCATCAAAACCTTTTTTAAGCTATATACTTGTATTACCAGAATGCATGTGTCATCATAGTATGTTTTCTATGAAATGCACAAAATTATTTCCTTTGTCTTCCAATTCAAATCTTAAAATTTGAACATGCATACCAAGAATTAATCAGAAGTCCAACTTGCATCAAAATGGATAACTAAGACCTATTTCTTTAGATGATAAAGTTAAACATGATGGTAAAGTTTTAAATAATATATTAGACATCGTACCTTTCTTTGATGATTTCTACTGACATTGAGTTTTGACATAATACCTCGACTAACTTTATAAGTCTATTGGCTGCCTCTGTCATATTCACGGCTGTTGGTCTTGCAGTCTTTAGGTGTGTAAGGCTTGTCTCTACAAATTCAGATAGTTTTGTTTTTGATTCAAATTGTTGTTTTATCAGCTCAACAGCCAGAGTCAAGGCACCAACTATTGCAATGGCAGGAGCACCTCTCACCTATAAAAATATTAATTCAATACATGTATATAATACCAGAAAAATAACATACGCACAAAAAGTGCTACCGGTAACCATGTTGGTTTCCTAAAATGTAAATAGCATCTATAAACTATCAATCTATAAACCAATTTGTATGCGTGAGCACAAAGACAAATACTGATAATGATTAATAGTGAAATATGTTCTAGTACTGTATTTACTTTATTAAAAGTGCATCTCCAATAGAAGCCAATCATTAAAATATTACCTACATATTACCTATTTTGACCATAGTTACACCTCTGTAATTTATGTAATCGCATGCACTACTAATAGACCAAATACAGTATCCTCTATATACGAATATAGTGTAATTCACGTTTTTTCCTCAATTCCTAAAGATTCGCATAAACCACTTCAAAATTATAGCTAAAATGTTCAACAATAATGTTGGTTTGACCATGTTCGAATGAAGTTGTGCAGAAACATCAATTTTATACTGACGCAAATTATTAATTTTACGTGATTTCAACAATACACTAATCATTCGACAGACTATGAGCTTATTACAAGGATACCTCAAGGTATGCACAAAGACAGTACAGTGAGAGTGTCAACCAACATGCAGCTGAGGTCAATGTGACTGCGTACATACTGTCTGAGTGCATATTTTGAGGTATCCTCGTAATAACCTTATTATTATACATCTTTTCCTTCCAAGGATACATCATGAGAATGCCGAAAACCAAAAAGTTTAGAACAGAATCAGCAAAATTCTTTGTGTGAGGTCTGGTCAAACCCTGGTGGCAGCAATGTTTGCTTTTATTATTTAAAGACGCTTACACACGTAATCATTCCATATTTGGAATTTGCATTACCTAACATGATAGAATGAAAATACCCCGGAAAATAGAGCAAAATTATGACACGCTTGTAGTTTATGGCGTTATGGTGGCAGATGTATAATAATAAATTATAACAGTAATTTATAAAATCTATGTTCATACTATGAATTGTATCCAAGTTAGGTGTGAGAATCAAAGAAACCAAACTTGATTTACTGAATTATTTGCAGTTTCACTATGTACAAACTTGTGCAAATGTAACTGAAATAAATCTTGAATATGAGATATATAAATTGACAAACCATCATAGTCTTAATAGCATCCCAAGCATCCTGAATTGTATGAATTTCTTCATATACACTCTTCGTTGGTAATAGTCGCTGGTTTAATATTTTCAAACTTCCTGTCTTGTAATGTATCGATTCAAGAGACATCTTTAAAAAATTGCCTAGAAAATAAACATACATATATTGATATCATTGCTTTGTAATGTGAAACACACAAGCAAGAAAATATTACCGTTAGTTAACCCTGATTAGGAAGGATGTTTATTTTAAAAGCTATCAATATATATTTACAGTCTACACCTTACAGCACAATTTCATGTCAATATAATGCATAGACTTAAATCTGAAATTAAATCTGATCGTCGGTGCATTATCCTTTGAAGCACCTACATGTATATACCTTGTACTAAATATTGGTGAACATATATAGAGACATCCATAAATACATACACCTACACAGACAAATTAAACTGCTCTCATGATTGTGTGCCTTGCACACAGAAATCCAAAGTACATCTGGTCAAATTACAGTACTCATCACAGGCAAAAATATGTTAAAATACAAATACATT